GCTATCGGAAGTTCTCAGAAAATCTCAGAAGTTTTCGCATTTCCTAGGATGTTCTCAGAACTCCTCGGAAGCTCTTAGAAATCTTTGAACGTTCTGGGAAAATCTACAACTTTCCAAAAGTTCTGAGAAATTTCGATAGCTTCTGAGAAGTTCCGATAAGTTACGTGATATGCTAAGAGCTTCAGCCATGTTCTTAATCTTAAGACTTCGGGGGGAATTCTGAGAACACCCGAGGAGTTCTCAAATGTTTTGAGGAGTGCTGAGATCTTCCGAAAATATCCGAGAACTTCTGAGAAACTCTAAAAAGTTCCAAGAACTTCTCAGAAAGTTCAAAGAGTTTCCAGAAACTTCATAGAAGTTCTAAGAGCTTCAGCGATGTTCTCAGAAGTTCTGAGAATTTACAAAAACTTCTGATAAGTTCCGAGACCTTCTTAAAAGCACTGCAAATTTCCGAAAACTTTCGAAAAAATCCGGGAAGTTTTCAAAAATTCTAAAATTTTCCGAGAAGTTCGGTGACTTTCCGAGAAGTACTGAGAACTTCCGAGAAGTTTTGAGAACTTCAGTTATGTTCTGGGAAGTTTTTAGAACTTTCGAGAATTTCCGAAACTTGAGAGAAGTTCTGAGTAGTTCTGTGAATTGCTGAGTATTTCCTAGAGCTTTTGATAACTTCAGCGTTGTTCTGAGAACATCTAGAATGTTCGAAGAATTTCCAAGAACTTCCGAGATATTCTAACAACTTCAGAGATCTCTCGAGAAGTTATAAAAACGTCTGAGAAGTTCCGAGAACTACAGTGGTGTTCTGACAACTTCCGAGATGTTCCGATAACTCTAAGAAGTTCTATGAACTGACAAGGAGAGGTCCCAAAAAGTTCCGAAATATTCTGAGAACTTCTGAGATGTTTCGAGTAGTTTCGAGAACTATCAGTACGAGTAAGGGGTCGTCCATTAAGGGGGTTGTTTTGAAAACTGTGACGAGCGATACAAAAAAAAAATTAAGGTCCATACAAAAAATGTGAGAAAGGGGGGAGTTGAAAATGGGCCAAATTTGCGTCATAATTAATGGACCATCCCTAATGAGTATTTCCGATAGCTTTAGAGAAGTTTTGATAATTCTCGAGAAGTTTTGAGCACTTCGAATAAATTCTCAGGATCTTCCAAAAAGTTCTGTGAACTTCCGAGAAATTCTGAGAACCTCCAAGAATTTTGAAGAGCTTCCGCGAATTTCCAAGATCATTTGAGAATTTCTGAGATGTTCCGAGAAAGTTCGAGTTGTTCGTAAACTTCAGCGATTTCTGCGATGTGCTGTTCTGGCGTAGGAGCGCTCGAGATGACCATATAGGGATCGTCCATTAATTATGTCACACTTTTAAGGGTGAGAGGGGGTTTTGGAAAGTGTGACGAGTCATACAAAAAAAATAAGGTCCATGCAAAACATGTGACAAAGGGGGGAGGGGGGAGGGGTTGAAAATGGGCCAAATTTGTGCGTGACATAATTAATGGACCTTCCCATAGGAAGATTTCCTGAAATGCGAAAAGTGGCTATCCATACGGGAAAGTTCATTCCATAGCAGCACACCATTTCATTGCTTGGTTCACTTCCCGACGAGGATGACCCCCGATTTGGGCGACTCATTTGCTTCTTCATCAGGCCACAGCTGATGGAAAGAATCTCCGGAAAATCAGTGACGCGACTCTTCCGATTAGTGGGTTAAAATTGTTAAACTTCTCGCACCAAGCAGGAGAGGTCTTTTTCCGCAGTCACCAAGTTCTTAAAGATCGAGGCGAATGTGTCATCCACGTTACAATTAGTCGTGGTGACGGGATAGAACAGGTTGCAAACCAGAAGGACGTTGGATCGAGATCCGTTAGGTGTTGCATTTCAGGCAACGTTCAGGTCACGTCGTAGTCAGTGTACTCGCCACCAGGAACCGAAACTTTTCAAGCTGTCCTGATTGTCCTCCGGTTGTTTCACATGCATCTCTGCTCCGGGATTGAACGGTCTCTGCATGGCGGACAGTTGCATTCTTCTTCCCACGTTCATCGGTTTGCTGGCGACTATCATCTTGGTTTCGTTCTTTCGTTCTCATCTCACTTACCGAAACTGAAAAAGGATACGGACAAGTAGAGAAGGAAGGTCTGGCACTAGTATTTGCTATGGAAATTTCACCGAATGCTACGTGGAAAATTCACACTGCAAACTTATCCCCAGCCTACGACTTCGACATCCAATGACCACGACTCAATTCGGTTATGCCGATGTGTTATCTCGTCTGATCAGCAAGCATTCAAGACCAGAGGAAGATTTCATCATCGCTTCAATTCAGCCTCTATATGGTACGTGGCGCTTCACTCAAGTGTCGCAGTATATTCAGGAAGGATTGCCCTCTTGCAACAACGAAATCACCAATCCCGATGAACGATCGTTCTTTTCCCACCGCGATGCTTTGGAAGCGGTAAAAGGTTGTACTATGCTGTCTAATCGACTGATGATTCCAGAAGCTTTCCGTCAGCGTATCCTCAAGCAGCTCCACCGAGGACATCCAGGAATGGAGAGAATGAAGCTCGCAGCCGAAAATTGTGCTGATTCGAAGTCCCCCCGAAGGTACCACTTTTACTGGTCCTATCAATGGTCAACACTTTCTGGTGGTAGTCGACGCTTTTTCGAAATGGCCTGAAATTCGCATTGTTTGTTCACCAACAACAGCAGCAGTAATCGAGTTCCTGGGTGAATCGTTCGCCCGTTTTGGAATTCCAAACACCATCGTTTCCGATAGTGGAACACAGTTCACATCGGAACAATTCGCGGCATTGTGTGTGAAAAATGGAATCCGTACTTCTCCATACCATCCACAGTCAAATGGACAGACTGAACGTTTCGTGGATACAATGAGAGGGGAAACATCTCCGAGTCGCTCCACATTTTTCTTCAAGCCTACAGATCCAGTCCCAGTCGTGTGCTGAACGGGGAAAACATGCGAACAGTTTCGAGCCACCTACAACAACAGAAGCCGAATATTCCTGAAATTTATCAAGGACAGATCGATCAATTAACCGCAAGCATGGGACGGTACCATCCCCATTGCAAGCTGGTGATTCAATTTCCTGGGCTCCAGGAATAATCAACGAGGTCACCGGTCAAGTCAACTTCAACATTCTCTTAGACGATTGGCCGTCTCCACTCAGCATACTCGTGGATGAGTTTGGGTTGCGATCCGAACCCGGACCGAATGTGAATCCAGTTCCAGAACCTGAACATGAAACTGACCCTGAAGATTCCTCTATAGCTGATATCAAGCTTGAAGAAGAAGTTCAATCCGAACCTGAAGGTCCAGAATTACCAGCAGGTACCAGTTGAACGGATCCTATGCCAGAATTGTCGGACGCAGCTTGTTTTCCAGATGAACCCACTACAAGTCGACCAAAACGGTCGATTCAGATGCCATTCAGACTAGAGCCGTACCTGGTATTCTGGAAATAAGAAGGGAGGAATGTTGCATACAACGAAGCAGGCAGCACCATACTTACCTTACCAATCAGAATAAGGCCTTGTTGTCCTCTGCTGTCCGAAGAAGTCGTCTCCACTCTACTCGATCAATGGACACACTTCACCAGCCTCGTAGTCTGCGAAGGGCCCGCAGGTCGCCTTCTACTTGGTCGAACCACCTTGCCCGCTGCGCACCTCTTCTTCTTCTTCCTGTTGGATCGCTTTCTAGAACCATTTTCACTGGGTCGTCGTGCGGCATTCTTACGACGTGTTCAGCCCACCGTAGCCGCCCAAATTTTACAATGTGGACGATGGATGGTTCTCCCAGCTGCTGGTGCAATTCGTGGTTCATTCGCCTCCTCCACGTTTCGTCATCCATCTGCACTCCATCGTAGATGGTGCGCAACACCTTCCGTTCGAAAACACCAAGGGCGCGTTGGTCCTCCACGAGCATAGTCCAGGTCTCGTGGCTGTAGAGGACCACCGGTCTAATCAGCTTCTTGTAGACAGTCAACTTCGTGCGGCGACGAATTTTATTCGACCGGAGCGTCCTCCGGAGTCCAAAGTAGGCACGATTCCCTGCCATAATGCGGCTTTGAATTTCTCTGCTGGGATCATTTTCGGCGGTCACCAGTGAGCCCAAATACACAAATTCATCGATCACCTCGATCTGGATCTCGAGGTGGGAGGCTAACATTGTCTTCCCTAGAACCTCTTCCTTTGATGTATTTTGTCTTTGATGCGTTGATGGCAAGTCCAATCCGCCTAGCTTCAGCGTTCAGTCTAATGTACGTTTCCGCCACCGTCTCAAAGTTCCGTGCCATGATGTCAATGTCATCGGCGAAGCCAAGAAGCTGGATGAACTTCCTGAAGATCGTGCCACTCGTGTCTATCCCAGCTCTTCTGATCACTCCTTCTTCTAACGCGATGTTGAATAGCAGACACGAAAGTGCATCACCTTGCCGTAACCCCCTTCGAGATTCAAACGGACTCGAGAGTGTCCCCGATACTCGAACAAAGCACATCACTCGATCCATCGTCGCCTTGAACAATCGCGTCAGTTTATCCGGAAATCCGTTCTCGTTAAATCAACAAACCGAAAATGATTAATTCTGTATTTTACTCTTGACGAATAAATATTTCTAGTTTAATTACTATATTGTATGAAGTACAACAATTCCGATTTGGAGAGACTTTTTAGGGACCCCTCTTCCATGGGTTCTCGTTGTCTTCGTTCGAAACCCTTCAATGGGCATTTCTTGAGTGATCAACGGTCTTTAGACCCTTTTCCCGTTGTATCGCCTTCCACGATCACCTTATAACTTGTTCCCAGGTGACATTTGATCGATTCCATTCGCTCCACTATTGATTCCAACAACTAAAGCAGTCAAACTGAAAACCAACCAATGAGAAAGCAAATCAAGAGCCGAAAACAAAGGAAAAGAGAATCTTCAAAACTTAAATCCAAAAACGTAAAACACAAAACGAAGCAGAACATAAAACATAAAACAAAAAGTTTGTTTGTAAAGAATTTCTTTATTACAAATAAAAGTGAACATTTATAGCTTTCCGGATTCTCGCACTAAACAATTAAAACTAGTAAATCGAAGGAATTCGCGTTACTTCCCTTCCGTCGTTTTCCATCATAGTCAAAAAAAGAAGAGAATTGCATTCTAACGTAATATTTTCGTTTCATTTTCTTCCGGAAAAGTAGGTAGATTTGCGTTTAGAGAAAATATAAAATAGCGTTTTTTTTTAATAGTAATAGCAGCACTTTTTCTTTCTTTTACTGTTTGCTTTATATACAGACATATCTCTCTCTGTGAGTGTTTTGTTTGTTTGGATCGTTTTTTCATGTTTCGAGTAATTTTGCTTGTGTTGTTTTCTGAGTGTGTGTGTGTGTGATGTTGAGATTCAATCGATGTTGGCTGCCATTTTTGTGCTAACCATCAAACTTCCTTCTCGCGCTGCGCGTGCCTCCCATGGGACGCAACGCAGCTCGCTTCATTCCAATTTGTTTCACTAATTTTATAAACGGGTATAAAATTAACAACAACTTATAAAACTTACACCGTTCCTGGCAACTTTGCTTTCGAGCAACGCGGAGAGAGAATTATTTATACTTGTAATCGTAATAATTGTAGTAGGTTTTTTCCTCCATTTTAAGCATTTACAACTAGTACAAATAAAAAGAAGAGATTCATTCTTACTGGACGAAATTGATTCATGTTGATGTTGGTTTTTCGGGTTTCTGCCGTCAGATCTAAGTGATTGGTAATTAATTTAACTTAAAAACATAAAAAAGAATCTTAATTGGGCCGGACTGAGAGTCGAAGAAGGTGATAATGCCTTCTGATTTTCTTTTCCTTTTTTTTCGAAAGAGATAATAATTAAGCAGATACTTGCGATTGATCCGATCCAGCTCTTTGAGAGGATCGTCGTCTCGTACATATTATAGGTATTAAAGCACGTGGAGAAGGGGGTTGTCTAAACATACAAGAGTGGGAGCAACTCGCTGCCAACATGGAAATTGTTGTAGTTTGTACTGAGATTGTAGTAGTTCGCGTGTGTGTTTCGGTCTCTATTGAACGAAAATGGTTAATTTTCTTGGCTTTTCGCTTGATGACCTATTGTTTTTTTCTTGTTTCTAAACATTTGCATGAACACATTGTTTTGAGTTACATCATTTTGCAAAAGAAAGTCAGCATTCACTGACCTTCGGAACCTTAGCTGAAATCCAGCTGGGTGTATTTAGTCTATTGTGTTCTGCGGTATTCAGATAAGTTCAGAAATGAACGATAAAAATTCTCCAAAATAAACGGTCGCAAAAAAGTGTACATGATGCATGTCCTCTCCATTTGCCGTCCAGTATTTTTGTTTCCAGTTGTAGTCAAATGTCTCCAGTGAGATGATCATTCCGTACAGTTCCACAAGAGAGTGTTGCGATGCGGTTGCAGCTTAGACGTACGTAGCCATTCCGGCGGTGGCTCCCTGCAGCGAAGGATTCTGCGGTGTGGACTGAGCACTGACCGGTGGCTTACCGGGCACATACTGGCCAATGAACGATCCATCCTCGGTGAATTGGCCGCCTACAAGAAATGCAAATCGATCAGTTTTTAACCAAATCAAGTCAACGTTCCAAACCAGAAATTGCAACGGAAATCAAAGCACACAAATTACCTTTCGAACATAAGAAAACAAAACCGCATCCCACACTGGAAAGCTGCACGGAACATACACGGAAAAAAATATCGCTCCTTATTCCTTCTCCACCGGACAGCAAACTCACATGACGTCGAATGAATAAATGTATGAACAGAATAAATTACACTTTCAAAAATCAAACCGTCTGGAACTTTCTTAACCAATGATAAAACAAAAGAAATAACGATTTAAAAAAAAAACCTGTCTAGCTTTCTGTGATTTCGTTTGATTTTCGCTCGTACATGATAAAAAAAAAACTCGACAAAATTTAACCCTATCATCAATACATTTCTGGCTAGTGTTTTGATTTGCTCAAATAGCTGCTCACCGCGATACAATTACGGCTTGTATCGTTAAAACTCTTAATAACAACTCCTTTTTCTTTTGTTTTTGGTGATTTCACATCCCCATGATACATATATCGATAATGCTGCTTTCTCTCTCGCTCGACTGTTGGAACGAATTGCAATCCTTCGTTCATGTGTGTACCCTAAAACTACTCCGACTAAAACTCTGTTTGTGTTGTTGTTGTTGTTGTTGTTGTTGCTCTTACTAAACTAAGGTCGCAAACGCCTGTGAGTTGCTGTCCCCGGCGTTCTTGCCCTTTCGGCCGTACTGCCCGATGAAGGAACCGTCCTCATTCATACCTTCTAAAATGCGTTGGAAACGAAAAAAACAAATAAACAAAGAAACACAAGAAAAAATATGGGATTTAGAAAAATAAAGATTTACAAAATGTGATACAGTTTTATAGCAATAAGTGTGAGCCGGTAGCACTTTGACAAGCAAACTTCCTACTTCGTAGAACACATCACGAAGCTTTACCTAGTTACCATATCAACATATCATGCTGCCTACACACTAAGATTATTTCACAGATTTCTGTGAAATTTTACCGCAATATCAACAGCTGATCGTTCGGTAAACAGTTCGGTGATATTACACATAATATCAGTGAAAAATTACAGGAAAACTGTGAAAAATCACCGAACTATTTACCGAACGTTCAGCTGTTGAGATTCCATTAAAATTGCACAGAAATCTGTGAAATAATCTTAGTGTGTACACAATTTTACTGGAGTTAGTTATTGTGCTGAAAATGTATGGGTAAAATTTAAATTAACTACTTCACTATTCCTATTTTTGTAGAGTTTTTTTTTATTATACCGAACTGGTCCGTAATTCCAAAATAACTGACATTTAAAGGATTTCATAACCAATTCCACTTCTTCTTCACATTTCAACCATATTGCGTGCTGTCAACAGGGCTGATAGCGATCACTGCTGTCAGAAATAGTGATTTTAGTGACCATGTTGAAGAAATAAGTGACCAAATAGTGACTTATAGTTGTAAACATAGTGACTAAAAAGTGACCTAAAGGCTGACTAAAAGTAACTCTAGTGTTGGGAATCGAAAATTGGTTTGTTTACACTTCTATAGAGAACAACTGGTGCAAGTATGATCAAAGTAGTCGATCGCGTTCAGAAATAACGTCAAATGGAACTCGAAAGAAGAAAAACATATTGTGCACAAACACCTGGAAAATCCGGAGTGGTTCCAAGCTGGCCGAAAACAACAGTTTGTCGAGTGCTCAAAACCAACAAGGAAACCCTGAGTGTGGAAAGGAATCAGCAGACCTTCGAAAAAAAAACTGGAACCAGGGATCGTCAGCAAGGTGTTGAGATGCGTTAAAGCCAACCCCGGTCTTTCGATCCAAGATGTGGCCAGAAGGTACAACGCCAACTTTCAAGCGGTGCGGAACATCCATGCCAGGGAAGGATACAAGTCGTACAAAGCCAGTAAACATCCGAACCGGCACATGAAACAGAATTCCGAGGCCAAAAAGCGTGTAAGGCTCTTGTACGACCGTGTTTTGACGAAACACATGGACTGCACTTCCCGGTTTTACATCGCGACTGGACGTGGGCATGTGCCGGGAAGATTCAAGTTCGTGTTTGCCAATAAGTTCGCGAAGAAGGCCATGCTTTGGCAAGCGATTTGCAGTAATTTGCCTGAAAACGGAACCATTCTTCACATCCTCGACGATGACATCCCAAGTTTACATCGAAGAATGCCTGAAAAAGCGTGTATTGCCGTTCATCCGCAAGCATAGGGACAAAGTCATCTTTTTGGCCCGATTTGGCCAGCTGCCACTACTCCCCAAGGTGGTTCTGGAGTGGTATGCTGCCAACAAGATCGATTTTGTCCCCAAGCTAATGAATCCTCCGAATTGCCCAGAATTTCGACCCATCGAAACATACAGGGCAATTTCAAAGCAGCAATTTCGACGAAATGCGTGCAAAATGGAAGAAATGCGCTGATTTCGTGCTGTTTCCACTGTGCGGGCGCTGATGGGCTCCATCAAGAGGAAGGTTTGAGATTTCGTTCGAACTGGATACTTTCAAGTTTTACTAAAAGTACTGCTAAGCAACCATTAAAAGACTTTTTAAACTCATTGAATAACGAATTACAGGTCTTTTTGTGCGTACCAATTTACTCTCAGTCAGCCTTAAAGAAAAGAAAAGTAGTAGTTATGATGGCACACTAAATAAATGTTTGATGTTTTAGACTTACAGGGTGTCCATTTAAATTCAATTTATCAATTTCCGGTTATTTAAAAAAAAACTCTACCTTAAACAAAAAAGGCGTTCAAAAATAACCCTGTAGAGATAATGATAAAATTTTGTCAGCAGAATTCCTCTACAATATGAAGGACTGGTAGTGGGTTATACAATAGTATTGACTACAATAACAAAAAAGTGACCAAATAGTGACTTTAAAACAATAAAAAAATTACCAATAGTGACATTTATTGATCGGAAAGATATTAAAGATATGGATCTAATCTGTCCTTGAATGCGATCCGTTTTGACAAATATTATAAATTCTTAAACCACCATGAGCATTTTACAAGATTTTTTTTTAAATACAGCAAATGGCTGAAAGATCTTATAAATTTGTCTTCGTAAATTCATTATTAATTGGATAATCAATAGGTTAATTTGTAACCTCCAGTTCCTCATACAGTACTCATTTTTCTGTCACGATTTTTCGGAAACCAACAGTTGAATAAGTTGAATTTATTTATTTATTTTTTTTTTATTATAGTCACTTTAACACTCTTGGGTAATTCGTGACTTTTCCGGGGGTGAGATTTGAACTCGTGACTTTGGCGTGAGAGGTATGGATGTTAACCACTACGCCGGGGTCGCCCCCATTGAATTTAGATTCAGATCGCGAATTGGTTGAATTTCGGGATGTGAAAGATTGAACATAGAAATTTAATAGGAAATCTTGAAATTGAAAAAAAAAAATTGAGGCGCAGAGAAAAATGTTCAACGTCTTGGACCAATTCGTCAAGCTCATACCGTAGTAGGCTGTGTATACAAAAAAATGTACTTAGTTTGACAGTTGCACCATGACAAATTGGCAGCGTATTCGTGATTTGTCCCACGCGCAAATGTCTTTCCTTTATTTAACGTCGGTCTCTGTTCCGCAATCTAGTGCCAATCACCGACGGACATCGATTGCCATTCATTGACGGCAATCGAATGTGCAGGAAGGCAGCTTCCACACCTGCGTAGGATATCGCACCCATTGAACACACATGGGCCGGTACCAACGGCTTTACTTCCCTTCCGAAGGAAGACGTGACCAGAGATTTTTATGCCTCAGAAAAATCCCACCGACCTCGGCTGGGATTGAACCCAGACCCATCGAAGTGTTAGAAAGCAGTCACGCTTACCACTACACCACCGGTGCCGGCGACGCGCAAATGTCGCAAAAAGACATTTCAATCGCCGTGGGAGTGTCCCGGTGGACCGTCAAAAAGGCTTTAGACCGAGAAAAGAAAGGACAAATATCCGCGAAGGTGGCCACAGGTCGTCCGAGGTCAGCTCGGGTTCCGAGAGTTATCGCTGCTATCAAAAGGAAGATTCGTAAAGGAAGATTACCAACCGCATCCAGGAGCTACGAGTCGAACGATGAAAGAAAATCTTAAACTTCCTTAAGCGAAAAAAATCCGGTAATCCTGTTCACCGATGAGAGCATGTTTACCATCGATCCCGTATCAAATTCCAGAACCGACCGATATATGAGTTCTCTTCCGGTAAAAGGCGTGGCCGACGAGCACAAGAACGTGTATCTGACCAAGCATCCTGCTAGCGTTATGGTGTTTGGATTGGTGGCTTCCGATAGCAAAAAAAAATGGACCCGGTGTTCATTCCAGAAGGCGACAAGGTACACGGAGGTCTACATCGGGATTTTAAGTAAGTATGTTCTTCCGTGGATCAAAGAACAGTACGGTCCGAAGCCAATATTGTATTTCAACAAGATGGGGCTCCGTGCCACACCTCGAACCGCACTCCAGCAAGCCTCAGACAAACATTGACCCGTATCTATAGAGAAAAATAGATCCAGACTACATTATTAGAACCTGCCGTGCATTCCGGAAGCGTGTGGAGGCCGTTATTGCAGCAAGTGGAAACTCGATCGATGATTAACATAGTTTAAGACTTTGAGGAACATCCCCCCTTTGAATAAATAAAAAAAACTTGAAAACGAAATTTTTGAGAATTTTTTTAAGTTTGGCATTGCTTAATGGTGCAAACATTATCACGCATACGGTAACCATGAAGAACATCGTCATATTGTTATAATATTTCATTTTTATCGGTCAATCAATGTGCAGTAGTTGTGTAGCTGTATCATCAATATTCCAAACGCATCGACGGCAGATTGTTTCCCAGTGGCAGCTGATTCCATCATTTTAAGTGACGAGGAAGACATTGAAGTTGTACGGCATTATCTTTTCCAGTCACATGAACTGTTGTTAAGGGCTGCGGAAGAAGTCGAGAAAAATCGAACTGGAGGATCTCGGCCTGG